CCTCTTCCCTTACTTGTCTTATTTTTGGATTATATATTGAATTTTTTGCCATTTAACAAAGCAATTTATGTATACAAATCATTTTTATCTGTGTCATGCCTTCAACATTTTCACCCTGCCTTCAACCCTCTCTTATATTTCTCAATTCTGTGATATATACAATGAATTCTTGCCTGCCTTCTCCCCGCTTCATTCTTCTACCCCCCTCGCCTTGGTCCCATCCTCCTCTCTTGCAAATACCCATTTTCTGGTACTTATTATACTATTTGTACTCTCCATAAAGTCTATTACTCTTCAGTTCATTCATTTGTTGCCCCTTGCTTACCACCCAGTGTGTTTACTTGTAGATTTATAGACACATTCTAGCTACTGCAAATGTGGGAAAGCATGCTTTAAAAACATTCTAAAGCATGCTTTAAAGAACATTCTAAGGCTTCCGATTTTTAGACAAAGCAACTGCCACAGTGTTGTCACTACACTCAACAAATAAGCATCATTGTTTTTCTCCTTTTGTTGTTGTTTTCCTGTTTGTACGAGACAGGGTCTTGCATGGTGAAATCTTAATCTTCATGATTCAGTGCTGAAATGAAGAGTATATGGATCCTCTCTGGAGAGTTTATGAATCTTTTGTTTAGGCTTATATGTTTTATTTGTAGCAATTTTCAAGCAGTACAGTGGCTTTCAGTCTCCTTAGCAAGAGTAGGAATTTTCAGATAGGTCAGATCATATCTCACAAATTAAGCCATTGGACCTGTGATTCAAAACTTGTGTAGATGTAACAAATATTTGTCAAGCCAAACTGAACAGAATTCAAGAATAACTTACAGAATTGGGCTAGGGCTATCAGTAATTTAGAGATTGCCTAAGATTCGTGAAGCTGAAATAGAAGGAAGTTGAGTTGCAGGTCAGCCTGAGCTACTCAGGGAGACCTCCATAAAAAGCAGTGACACCAACAAAAGATAAGATTAAGGATGAGGGCCTGAGGGCAGCTAGAGCCACTTACTAAACAGAGCCTCCACAGGTAGGGAAATTTCAAGTCTATAATCAGCAAATTATCTACCAATTACTACATAATATGATCCTGGGGAGGGAAATCACAGGCCTACTGTATTTCCTGTCCATCTTTTTTTCTGTGCAATTTTTTTTAGCAAAACCAGTCATACTTTTATAAATTTCATTTTGTATTCCTCTCAAATTTATATGTTGAATGTTATTCTCTAGGACCTTAGCCTGTCACATATTTGGAGGTAGAACCTTTGTAAAGGTAAGTTAAAATGAGGATGATAGGGTGGGCTAATCCAATATCCATGAGAAGAGGTTAAGACCTACCTGTAGGAGAGCTGTAGAAAGGCCATGTCAGGACACAGGAAGAAGGCTGTAAGCCTTGTAAACCATGAAGAGAAGGCTCAGGTGAAATCAGTTGATCGTGGACTTTCAATCTCTAAAACAGTGAGAAAACAAACTTCTGGCTGGGTACTAGTGCTCATACCAGCTATAATCCTAGCTACTCAGGAGGCTGATATCTGAGGACTGAGGTTCTCAGCCAGCCTGGGCAGGAAAGTCTGTAAGATTCTTATTTCCAATTAACCACCAAAAGCTGCAAGTGGAGCTGTAGCACAGTGGTAGAGCTCTAGCCTTGAGCACAAAAGTTTATGGATAGCACTCAGGCTCTGAGTTCAAGCCCCAGGACTGGCACACACACACAAAAAAAATGTTTTAAGTATTCTATGCTATTTTGTTAGGGTAACACTAGCAAGCTAATATACATATTTACTCATAATAATATAGCAAGCTTTTTGTATCCTGCACTTAACTCATCATAAGTTCCCTTGTTATTTTTGTGACCCCCTTACTCTCCCAAAGACAGATAAACAAAGACAAAAAGAAAAGAAAACAAAAGACAGCAACAAAGAAAAAAATCTCCATTTCCTGTAGTTCCTTTCAATAAATATTATTTTATATAATTTCCCTTGTTATTAAATATTCTTCAAAAAACATGATGACCAGAAAGCATCCTAATGTAGAGAAGGATCATAATTTAATCATTTTTATGGTAGGCTAATGGCTTGTGCATACAGATTATTTTGGGCTTTTGATAATAGTACAATAAATATTCTTTTTATTTTAATTTTATTGTCAAGGTGATGTACAGGGGTTACAGTTACATAAGTAAGGGAGTGAGTACATTTCTTGTCAACCTTGTTACCCCTCCCTCATTTTCCCTCTTTCCCTCCCCCCTATCCCTCTCCCAATTTGTACAGATCATTTCCAACATATTGTCTTGTGGGTGTGGATGTTGCATTGGTTCCCCTTGGGTCTTTTGTCTCACCATTTTTTCCTCCATCCCTTCCCTAATTTAGATAAACATATATACAGTACCCAGGGTACCAAAATCAAATACAGTGACAACAAGGAATAAACCATGGGGGGTGGGGGAGGAAACCAAAAGAAAAAAATCATATAGTACATTAAAAACAACAACAACAAAGAAAAACTTCTTGTGACCATGTCTTGGAGTTCATTTCTCTTAGTATCATCCTATATAGTTTTATGTACATAGTTATTGAGCCATTCTGCTCATCTGCTAAGATTGTCCTAGACTTATACTAAGGATTACAAATAAGGGAAACCATGGGACCTATATTTCTTTTTTTCTTTTTTTTTTTTTTGTCAGTCATGGGGATTGAACTCTGGGCCTGAGTGCTGTCGCTCAGCTCTTCAGCTCAAGGCTATCGCTCTACCACTTGAGCTACAGCGCCACTTCTGGTTTTCTGGTGGTTTATTGGAGATAAGAGTTTCACGGACTTTCCTGCTCATGCTAGCTTTGAACGGCCATCCTCAAATCTCAGCCTCCTTAGTAGCTAGGATTACAGGCGTGAGCCACCAGCGCCCGGCTAGGACCTATATTTCTTTGGGTCTGGCTTACTTCACTTAATATGATTTTTTCCAAGTCCTTCCATTTCTTTACAAATGGGACAGTGTCATTCTTTTTGATGGAAGTATGGAATTCCATTGCATATACATACCACATTTTCTTGATCCATTTATCTGGGTTGGTTCTGTATCTTAGCTATGGTAAATAATGCTGCAGTAAACATCTTTGTGCTGGTAGATAAATAATCTCTTTTTGTTGTTGTTGTTGTTGTTGGTTAAGGGGCTTGAACTCTGGGCTTGGGTGCTGTCCCTGGGCTCTTCAGCTCAAGGCAAGCGCTCTACTGCTTGAGACACAGCTCCACTTCCAGTTTCTGGTGGTTTATTGAAGATAAGAGTCTCTGGGGGAGGGAGGGTGGGAAGGGATGGGAAAGGAAAACAAAGGAAGAGGCAACAATGCTTGATAAGAAATGTACTCATTCTTGCCCATGTAATTGTAACCCCTCTGTCTCCCGGACTTTCCTGCCAGGCTGGCTTTGAATCGAGATCCTCAGATCTCAGCCTCCCGAGTAGCTAGGATTACAGGTGTGAGCCACTGATGCCTGGCAGATAAATATTCTAATACACAAACCTTTGTATCTATAATAATGTTTTAGGTTACAGTTCTAGATTTGGATTTACAGGTAAATATTTTAAGAGCCTAATATGTTTCTGTATTTCAATTATATAATTAAATGACTTCCTTTTTTACTTTAATTTTTTAAATTACTTTCTTTTTTTGTTGAGGCATTGACAATAAAGTCTACTCTACTAGATTAAGGTAATTAACATAAGTCTTAAGAACATCTTTTATCATTTTTCTAGTTTAGGTTCATTCCAAAACATGCCACATTTTATTTAGATACTGCATCTTACATGTAGCATCTAACTGGGTGCACGTATTTATCCATTATGTCCTTAAATTAAAAATAATTTTAACCTTTCCTTTTTTTTCAAATGCAAGTTTCAACCCTCAAATATTTGATTTTTATTTTAAAATGTCTGTTAACATACAGTATTGAAAATCAGGTTTTGCAGTAATGTCTGAAACCCCATGCTGTGGTATCTCTGAACAACAGGGCAGAGCTGGCCCCAGGCAATATGCACACTACAAAGGCTGAGCTATGAGCCCCTCTGCCCTGGTGAGATTGATGTAGTCCAAAGTTTGATCTTTAGTTCTCTGTTTTCCAGAATCTAATTGCTTCCCCTTAGGGCCATTTGGCCTCTAAGGAGTAATTCAGTCAAAACAAATTCACAAGGAAACTAATTGAGAACTTGCATTAGAGTTTTTGAATGTAATTTCATATACAGCCTGGCTAGGGGCATGGCTCAAATGACAGACCACCTGGTATCTAACCCCAAAGTATCCAGCTCACATCCCTTCATTCTATATGAAGAGCATTGTTTATGCTTCAGTTTACTTCAGGTGTATTTCAGTATCATTACTGAGGTAAGGGAAACCTATTTCTTACACTTGTGTAAAAAATATTCTTGAATGACAACTGTAGTTGCAGTCTGTTTCATTTGCATACAGTAACACTGTCCAACTCTATCTCAACTTCAGGGTATTACTTTTGGGTGGCCTTTGTCCATCTGTCCCAAGTATCCTCAAAGTATGGTCACTTAACAAAGACCTGTCAAGGGCCATATCCCATCTTAACACAGGCCCTCTCTGCTAATATTTGTTGAAGTGACTTGAACAGAATTAAATCCACTATTATAAGAAGAAAAAACAGGGGCTGGGAAGGTGGCTCAGTGATAGAGCGCTTGCCTTGCATGCCTGAGGCCCTGGGTTTGATTCCTCAGCACCACATAAAGCAATGAAAAAAGCCGGAAGTGGCGCTGTGGCTCAAGTGGTAGAGCGCTAGCCTTGAGCTGAAGAACTGAGGGACAGCACCCAGGCCCAGAGTTCAGGCCCCACAACTGGACCAAGCCCCCCCAAAAAAGAAATATAGCTTAAGATAATTTTCCCAAAAAGTTTTTATTTATTTATTTATTTTTTATAACATAAAATAATCATCAGCTTCTTTTTTCCTATGTGCCAGTACTGGGGCTTGAACTCAGGGCCTAACATTCTTTTTTATTTTTTTCAGGTCTAGTCCTGGGGCCTGAACTCTGGGCCTGGGCACTGTCCCTCAGCTCAAGGCTCAAGGTTAACGATCTACCACTTGAGCCACAGCACCACTTCCAGCTTTTTCTGCTTATATGGTGCTGAGGAATCGAACCCAGGGCCTCATGCATGCAAGGCAAGTGCTCTACCATTGAGCCACCTTCACAGTCCCAAAGGCCTAACATTCTTGCTTGGATTTTTCTAGCAAGAAAAAGCTCTCTAGCACTTGAACCATACCTCCGCTTCTGGTTTTTTGCTGGTTAGTTGGAGTTCAGCATCTCTCAGATTGTGCACCCAGGCTGGCTTCAAACCATGATCCTCTAATCTCAGCCTCTCCAGTAGCTAGGATTACAGGTGTGAGCCACTTAGCACCCAGCCCACATATCACTTTCTACTTCTACCCTTGTTAGATACTGACTCTTCATAAAACAGGAAGAATCCCTGATATGAGTGTGTGTGTGTGTATATATGTCCGTGTAAAACAGGAAGAAACCCTGATATGAGTGTGTGTGTGTGTGTGTGTGTGTCCGTGTGTGTCCACGTGTCTACGTGTGATCTTAGGCTCTGGTTTTCCTGATTTTTCCTGTTATACTATAATCTTCTTCCTCCCCAACCTGAGACCTCTATATCCTCCTGTGGTGGAGATTGGACCCAGGGCTTCAAGAATGCTATGCTATCCAAACTCACTACTACTGAGCTACATTCCTAGTCCTACCCATTATTTTTTATTTTATTGGTTTTTTGTTTTTTTGTTTTTTGTTTTTTTTTTAATCTGTCATAGGGCATGAATTCTGGGCCTGGGCACTGTCCCTCAGCTCTTCAGCTCAAGGCTAGTGTTCTACCACTTGAGCCACAGCACCACTTCCAGTTTTCTGGTGGTTAATTAGAGATAAAAGTCTCATGGATTTTCCTGCCTGGACTGGCTTTAAACCTCCATCTTTGTATGTCCCTCCCCCACAGTGTAACCCCCGCTTTCGCTATATTTGATGTCAGTATAACTTGTGGAGGAGAGGGGGACAAACAAGTCGTTTAAGGATTCAGGTGGACCTGTTGCAACAATGAGAAGTACAAAATGTCATGTCAAAAACGAACTTTACAATGTTGGTGTGGGGGAGGGGAGGGGGGGAAGGATTGGGTGGGAGGGAGGGGGGAGGCTGGGAAGGGAGGTGAAGGGTAAACAAAGGAGGAGGCTGCAATGCTTGGTAAGAAATGTATGCATTATCCTTCCCATATAATTGTAACCCCTCTGTGCCGTATGTTCTCAAATAAAATAAAATAAAATTTAAAAAAAAAAAAAAAAAAAACCTCCATCTTAAGATCTCAGCCTCCTGAGTGGCTAGGATTACAGGCATGAGCCACTAGAGCCCAGCTTCATTTCTTTTAATTATAGTTCTTGTCTTGGTGAAGTGATATTTTGAATGCTTCATTCTTCCTTCTATCTATATTTCTTAATTCTTTAATAATGAAATTTTATCATACGATGAAATATATAGAAATATTTTAATCACCACTTATGATGATTTTATATTTAAACTAATCTATAGGAAAATTGACATAGACCACTCAATTTCTACAGTAGTGGTAGTGTAAGAACAAAACTAGCCATTTTGTGATAGCTTCTAAAAGTTAACTTGTATCAGTCCCTAATTCCTGTTCTGAGTTAATGTTGCAAAAGTTGCAAAAATGAGTTAAACAATAACATGTCTGTGCAAAATTTTTGGCAACTGTTATTTAAAGATTGCAGAATACCCCAGAACAGAATGGTTTTGAGATCCAGTCAGCAGAAGATTAACCACAGGAGATGTCAGCCTCCATGGCTTAAGCAGACACCTGGTCCCTAACCAAGCAGAATCAAACTTGTCCCTAAACCATAGCATTGCTGTAATTTTGTGGGTTTTGCCTTTATAAGCCTAGCTATACTGTTGCTCGAGGCCTCCTCCCTTCCTCTGCTGCATCTAGGGGTACAGGACGAGGCCCGAGCCTTGGCTTGTTGAATAAACCTTGCATTTTGCAGTTCGGTTGCCTGGTCTCTTAGTGGCTGTCGGAGCATCTCTGGAACTTGGGTATAACAGTTGGGGGCTCGTCTGGGATCCCCTGAGGACTCCCGAAACCCCAGACCCCGAAGGTAAGAAGCTCACTTAATCTGTGACTGTGTCTGTGTACTTGTCTCCGTGTTACTTTCGTTTTTGGCTGTAGTGGTAGACTACATTAAAAACTGCACCAGTGGGTAGACAGGGTGGACTACAAGGCAGGGGACAGACGTGTCTACGCTGTAGTCCTGGAGATGGAGGACGCTCCCAATCCTCAGGAAAGGGGTTCCTTGGTACCTCACTACAAAAAAGCCAAGGGTGGGCGCAGGAGCCACAAAGGGCTGATAGAGCAGCTGGCAAGTCCACGGAGTCTTTGGGATAGCGGAAGTGTTAGAAGGAGACGCTGGATCCCAAAGGGGAGGCCTCAGGAGAGATTATTTTTCGTGGAAGTGCACTATTGTTGTGTGTGTGTTTGTGTTTTTCAGACTTTTTATTCTAGGAGCATTGTAATTAAGATCTAAATTACAGTCCAGAATGGGTGGGAATGCTCCTGCAAGCCCTCTTGATTTAACCTTAGCCCATTGGAAAGAAGTTAAGGAGATAGCTCAAAATCAAAGTGTAGCTATTAAGAAGAAAAAGTGGATTGTTGTCTGTTGGAAATTTTCTCTGGCATTTGCCTGACTTTCCACACCACGCAGCGCTTTCTTTCGTGTAGTTTGTGCTTGTCTTATGTTTCTTTCTTTGTTTAATGAAACTGCCACTGACTACCTGCAAGTGGCACCAACAAGATCTTAGCCTCGGGCCTTGGGCCAGGTTGTCTGAGTATGGGGGAGAACCTGTCAGTCTGAGGGGATGGCCGCTAGGGACTTCTTTCCCTTGCCCCAAGATGACTGGGAGTTCTCCTCCACCTTGGAAGGCCCCTGGGTCAATGTTTGCAGGAATATAAAAGAAAAATCCTCTGGAGGTGAGTAGAGGGGCTTCGAGTCCCCTGGTAAGTGAGTGGTGGTGAGATGTCACCCTATTCACTGAGACCTGATTTTGTCTTTGTGGCCACTTGTCTGTCTGGTGTGGTTTCTGTTCTGTTTTCTGAGGTGGGGAAGTTCTGGGTTAGGGTGGCCAGCTCACTCCGCAGACTCTGGATTCAGCTTGCTGAATGAGAACAGTGCAGAGCTCTGGTAAGAATGAACTGGGGGCCATTAGTTCCCAACTCAGCCTTTGGTTGTTGTCTAGTTCTGTTTTAGAATTGGTACCAGTTTTAAATGTGGATCCTTGTTTCTTGTGTTTATTTGTGTTTTTGTTATTTATTTGAACATCTCTGGGGGAATAAAAGTTCCAGCCTCCGGCTGGGCTCGGTCACAGACCTGCTATGCTCCCCTCCCTGTGAGGCATGGAAGGTTGTTGGACTAGTTTGGTTCCCGTCAAGCCTTAGGCTGCATTTTTTCCTTGTGGAGGCTGCTGGTGAGGAAGGTGTAGAAGGCTGTGTGTCTAGTTTGGACTTTTCAGCTAGTCTTGACAATGTAACAATTTGTAAAGTGCTCTTGTTTAAAATTGGATAAAAGAATCAGGCCGGGCTAGGAGGTGGCTCAGTGGTAGAGCACTTGCCTTGCATGCCTGAGGCCCTGGGTTCGATTCCCCAGCACCACATAAGCAAAAAGAAAAAAGCCGGAAGCGGCACTGTGGCTCAAGTGGTACAGCGCTAGCCTTGAGCTGAAGAGCTGAGGGACAGCGCCCAGGCCCAGAGTTCAGGCCCCATGACCAGACCCCCCCCCCACTAAAAAAAAGAATCAGGCCAGTTTAGTTTCAGGTGACCCCCTCTCCCAGCCCTCCTCCAACAGAAGGGATTCAAAAGACCCATTGGTGAATCGCCTTGCTAAACAAGCAAGCTCTGGAAAAAATGAAGCTTAATAAAGGTGCTTAGTTTATTTTTTTTTTAAGTCTTAATTTTTTGTTTAAAAACTTTAAAAAAATGTACCTACAACTGATTTTGATTTTTGCGCGCTTTAAGATCTGTATGAGTGTTTTGTATGTGTTTGTGAACATGTTCAAGATAAAAATTGTCAGCATGCTTTAACAATTGGGTGAGTTTAAATTTAAAATGCAAAAGGTTATGAGGTTTGGACATTACCAGAAATTTTAAAGAACTTTTACATCGTTTTAAATGGCTTTTTAAGGATTTTTTAACTTAAAAATTAGAAAATCTGATATTTTAAAATTTAATATTGTAACATGCATTGGCAGTTTGGGATCTAGTTCCCTTGGCTAAAATTTGGGGATAAATATTAGAAATTTAAATGTAAAGGTTAGTTTAACACTGCCAACAACGTTACCTGTTTTGTCTGTCTAAAACTGTGTATTTCAAGAACCAAGAGAAAAGACAGGGAGAAAACTTAGGAAAGCTTAAAAGCCAACAGAAGACCTATCTTTAGGGGTGAGGGATGAGCAGGCAGAAGTGCAGTTCGGCTGACCATGCATGGTGGGACAGGCCCTGGGGGAGTCCACCGATGGTGGGGACAGGCCCTAGGAGGAGTCTACGCGTGGCAAAAGAGGGCAAGCTGGCACAAACACAGTTCATCTAACCCTAAAGAGTCAGATTGGGTGTGTGCCCATTCCATAGGAGGGGCCAAATGGCCCATCGTTGTTCTGTCCCTTTTCCCTGCAGATAGACACTGGAAACATGATGGTTAAAATGAGTGATGTGATGATCTGATTAGTATTGCTAAAACTGCCCCTTGGATGTGTTGAAATTAAAATTAAGAAGACCTTAAAAAGATAGTTAAAAAGTTTATTTGTATAATGTGACTTGTTTTCAATGATGTTTTACAATTAGGATGTTTTTAAAAGTTATAAAGGTGTTAAGTCTAGCTTCTTGGCACAGTGATGGTGATTGTAATTTTTGCCTTAAGAAAAAATTGTCATTTGAGTTTAATAAGAAGCTTAAAAATTAGGAATGGATTTTTGGATGTAAAGTTTAAAAGTAAAATTATTCAACATTTGCCTCAAAGTGCACAAAGGAAAAATTAGGATTATCAGAATAATTGCTATTCCAGTTTGCTCTTATAAGTTTTTTTTTTTAACAGTTTCCAGCAAAGCCCAGAGCAAAGCACAGAGGATTCTTACCAGTTTATCAGATGTAACTTTGGGGTTTTTTTTTGGGGGGGGGGTTCGGGGGTTTTTTTGTTGGTTGTGGGGCTTGAACTCTGGGCCTGGGTGCTGTCCCTCAGCTCTTCAGCTCAAGGCGAGTGCTTACCACTTGTGCCACAGCGCCACTTCCAGCTTTTTCTGCTTATGTGGTGCTGAAGATTCTAACCCAGGGCCTCAAGCATGCAAGGCAAGCGCTCTATCACTGAGCCACCTTCCCAGCCCCTAAAGTGGCCTTTTATGAGACCATAGATCTGCAAACTGGTTTGAAGCCAGCCCAGGCAGAGAAAGGTCCCTGTGAGACTCTCACCTCTAATCAGCTAGCAGAGTGCTGAAGGAGCAAGCAGAGTTGCTTTGGGACTCAAAGTGGCAGAGTGCTAGCCTTGAGCTGGAGAGCTGAGGAACAGCACTCAGGCCCCAAGTTTAAAGCCAGTGACCAACTAAGGGAAATGCCAATGAGGCATTTATCCCAGTGTGGAAAAGACACTCCTGGGATGAAAGCAATGGTCAAGCATCCAGAGGCAGTAAGCCACTGCTTGAATGGCAGAAATGTCAGATCCTAGAGTCATTTCGTGGCCCTTCAAAAATTGGTCGGGGGGGGCGGGGGGAGGCTGGGAAGGGATGGGAAGGAGGAGGCTACATTGCTTGATAAGAAATGTACTCGTTATCTTGCCCATCTAATTGTAACCCCTCTGTTCAGTATTTTCACAATAAAAAATAAATTAAAAAAATTTTTTTAAATGGTCAGAGCCAGAAGGTCATGGAAAGATAGTTTGTAAGCATGCCTAATGGTCATGACTACCTTGTAAGGGACAGGAATTTGCCATCCTCTGTGATAGTAGTAAAAAAGCTAAAGTTATAAAATGAGGGGGATAGTTTAAATCTCAACTCCTGCATGTGCCAAAAGCTCTAATTGGCAGTAACTTTTGAGCTGACACCAGCCACATGAAATTCATCTGCTCAGGAAAAAGCTTATAAACCTGAGTGTTTTTATTGACTTCTGTCTGAAGGCCTGCACAGGTAACTTAGGCATTGTTAGGGTCACTAGAGATCAAATTCCTAAGCCATCCAGAAAGATGCTTTTGTAAACCAGAGTGCTAAACAAGCTACACTGCTGTAGCCAGAGAAAAGGTCTGTGCAGTTGTCAAAAGTTAAAATATTGTTCTTAATGACATCTAACCCTGATAGCCTCTTTGTAAAATAGGCTAAGGTTATAGGTTCCTGGCTAGGTAGGATCAACGCCCCTGAAGTCAGCTTGAAGAAGTTACAGAAGATGGACCTTCGCCCATCAACCCCCTTTTAAGATCAAGAGTCCAGAGTCAGTTATGGAAAAATGAGGCAAAATAGATAAAATAATTATTTTTTTGAGAAAAAGGCATAAGAAAATAGTGTTAACAGGTGTGCAAGTGTGGAAACTGCATCTGTCGGAGATGGTTACAAGACTAAGCCTTCTGTGTCTGTTTACAAAAATATCTGGTTAGTAAAAAAGTTGTGATTTTGGTAAATTTTCCTGGGCTATTGTCTAAACAGTCTTGAAATCCAGCGGGGTCAAAGCCTGCCAAGCCTATGCATTGTATCCTTAACCAGTCTGTGTAGGAATTTGCAGCCCAGCATGAGGTGTGACAGTCCCTTGGAGCCACTGAGAGACCCTGCTGCTTCTGCTGCTGTTGCTGCATACCCTAAGGGGTAAAGTTTAAAGACAGTCTGGCAGTCACCTGGAGGAAATCCACATTGTCACCCAGACCACCTCCACCGTGGTAAAAGTAGACTGAACTCCTGCCTGGTTCCATCACCTGAGACTGCATCCTGGTTGAGAGCTGCCAAAACTAAGATCTTGTGGGACATTCTTTTGGGTGATATCCAGAAACCCTCTTTATTCCCACAGTGGATATTGGGGGCAAAGATATCACTGGCTTGCTTGCCTTAGGCACTTCAGTGCATAGTGACTGGAAATCCACTCTATAGTCACAGCCTAGTTTGGCTCTGGTATGGTAATAACTTAAGTGTGTTGTCAATGCAGGTAGTAATGAGACCCGGCCCTGCTCTTAGCCTTAAATTTTAGCAAGCTTCAGCATCCCAGTGGTGTCTTGAGGCTGTTCTGAGATAACTTGGTTCCACAAGCCACAGGAAAAAAAAAAAGGGCAGTTTTAAACTCTAGCCACAAAGAAGCTCAAGAAATTGTAAAGAAGAGGAGGGTAGTAAAGAAAACCTTGGAAAAGGAATTGGGGAAAAATCGGTATCCTCTAGATAAGAAAGGATTTAAAAAGAAAGGATTGTCTTAAAATGTTTGTAAAGAAGACAAACCTCAGAAAGTATAAGTATTTGGCAAATGGTATGAGAATGTCTTGAAACTGGAGCTTACAAGTACAGCTGGTATAAAGTTAAGTTAGCTGCGATATGCAGAATCAGGACTGGTGGAAGAACTGTTAATTTTGTTACTCACGATCAGACCTTGCATTTAAATAGATTGGTACAATTTATGAAAGACAGGTTAAACACTATACAATTAATGGTACAACATACCTATACTCCTGTAAATAGATCTGACATTAAAATTGAGATGTAATGTCACCAAGATTGATAACTGTGCCAAAACTCAAGGGGGGAATGTAAGAACCAAACTAAAGCCATTTTGTGACAGCTTCTAAAAGTTAACTTGTGTCAGTCCCTAATTCCTGTTCTGAGTTAATGTTGCAAAAATTGCAAAAATGAGTTAAACAATAACATGTCTGTGCAAAATTTTTGGGAACTGTTATTTAAAGATTGCAGAACACCCCAGAACAGGATGATTTTGAGACCTAGTCAGCAGAAGATTAACCACAGGAGATGTCAGCCTCCATGGCTTAAGCAGACACCTGGTCCCTAACCAAGCAGAATCAAACTTGTCCCTAAACCATAGCATTGCTGTAATTTTGTGGTTTTTGCCTTTATAAGCCCAGCTGTACTGTTGCTTGAGGCCCCCTCCCTTCCTCTGCTGCGTCTGGGGGTACGGGACGAGGCCCGAGCCTTGGTTTGTTGAATAAACCTTGCATTTTGCAGTTCGGTTACCTGGTCTCTCGGTGGTTGTCAAAGGGTCTCTGGGACTTGGGTATAACAGTAGGTGTCTACATTATCTGTTAACTTTGAGTAGGAATTACAGACATAAAGTCAGTGTGAGACTTCTCTCTAACTTTGTAGTATGGTTTCTGGCTACATTTGTATGGAATTTCTTCCATGGACCTGGCACAAATTAAAAGTGACATGGGCTTTGGTAACCAAACAGGCTTTGGAAATTATTTATTATGTGTATATTCTATAATGGATACTTTTTATGATTTATAAGCCTGAGGGAATTAATTTGACACATTTTATAAAAAGTCTTTTAAAACTAGTAAATCTCAAGACTTGACAAATTGATTCATTTCAAAGTTGAAATACTAAACCGTCATTGGATCTTCCTGAAGGTCAACAGGAAAAAGTCAGCAGCTCATGTAAGCACCAGCGTAAGGTTATAATTTAACTAGTGATGCCCATTTGAGATCAACACATTCCTACACAGAAAACAAAATGTTTGTTCAACAGTTTTATCTGATCCCTCCTTTGGGATTTGAAGAGATTTACAATTAAGCAATAACGTGTTATTCTAACTTTAGCTTCTTTATTAAACTTTAGAGTGAAGCCCAATTTACAGGTAATGGTACAACAAAGATAGTTTGGTAGTTCGGTGAAATTAAGTCAGCATGGTCACATGTTTATGACATGATCAAGGTTTTAGAACATCAAGTTCCTGGTCTCTGGAATAATCCAGGAGCTCCGTTGAGTGTTTACTGAATCACACTGATCGCCTTTTCCGTTTTCAGTCCCGACAGATACGATGGCCTGTCTCACTGCTTAGCCCTTCCCACTCCTCATTTCATACATTCTATAATTCATTCATTCATCTTTAAGCACTTGTTTCTCAATATTATATTAACTGTTAACAGAATAACCAACACAACACAATGTAGTTTTGTGCCATTTACAAATCACTCACGCTGGGAAAGTGGCTCAATGGTAGAGCGCTTGCCTTGCATGCATGAGGCCCTGGGTTCGATTCCTCAGCACCACATAAGCAGAAAAAAAATTTAAAAAAAGCTGAAAGTGGCGTTGTGGCTCAAGTGGTAGAGTGCTAGTCTTGAGCTGAAGAGCTGAGGGACAGTGCCCAGGCCCAGAGTTCAGGCCCCATGACTGGATCCAAAAAAAAAATCACTCTCACAAGCCCTGTATAATTAAGCCATGTAGCATTAGCTACTCAAAGACAAGGACAGACACTCGCTAGGCACCAGTGGCTCACACTCATAATCCTAGCTACTCAGGAGGCTGAGAAGTGAGGATCACAATTTCAAAGCAACCTGGACAGAAAACTTACAAGCTTCTTATCTTCTCTCCCTAGCAAAAAGTCAGAGATGGAACTCTGACTCAAGTCAAGCCAGCATTGAGTGAAAAAGATGAGGAATAGAGAGAGCCCAGGCCCTGAGTGCCAGCCCCACTACTGGCACACACACGCACACACAACAGGGGGCTGGGAAGAGCGCTTGCCTAGCACGCATGAGGCCCTGGGTTCCATTCCTCAGCACCACATAAGCAGAAAAAGCCGGAAGTGGCGCTGTGGCTCCAGTGGTATAGCACTAGCCTTGAGCTGAAGAGCTGAGGGACAGCGCCCAGGCCCAGAGTTCAGGCCCCATGACTGGCAAAAAAAAAAAATTCTTCCTCACATCATCAAATGGGCCTTCATTCCAGAACTGCTTAATGCACATTAAGCTAATGGGTAGGGCTGGGAAGGTGGCTCAGTGGTAGAGCACTTGTCTTGCATGCATGAGGCCCTGGGTTCCATTCCTCAGCACCACATAAGCAAAAAGAAAAAAGTCGGAAGTGATGCTGTGGCTCAAGTGGTAGAGCGCTAGCCTTGAGCTGAAGAGCTGAGAGACAATGCCCAGGCCCAAGAGTTCAGGCCCCACGACCGGACCCCCCCACCCAAAAAAAAAAAAAAGCTAATGGGTAGTAAATGCTCAAGCAAATGAATGAGTGAGGACATATACAATAATGTATTATTCTGAATTTTCATAAGACTGTCAAGCATCTGCTTTTCTGATCAATTTTTTTAACCTTGGAAAGGCTCTGTGCCTCCTACTTACTCCTTTCTTTGTGTATAGCAACACCTTCTAATGATGTCCAGTGGCAAAATTCCCTAGACATCCCCAAACCTGCTGCCTCTGATCCTTTATTGACATGGCTTCAGCTGGAAATAAGCTCTAGGTTAGGGGACACCACTGGGGTCTTTGCTCTTTTGGAAATCACTCAACACTTGGGTGAAGAGTTTGGCAATTGGACCATGGCATGGCATACATTTTTACATTCCTATTATTACTATTGTAGAATAATTTCAGCTGGGATTTCAAAAAAGTTACATGACTAGGCTTCCCTTATTAGGTTAGAAACCAAGGAGTCCAAAAACTATGAAAGCCAGACAACAGCTGTGGAAACCACAAGCTCAGCTGCTTTGCATTTGGTGCTCAGGGAGAGACAGATGAGAAGAAGCAGGAAATGAATAGCATCCAGAGGTTGCTCAAAACATATTATTAGATAGTTACCTGCTAACACCACAAACAGAAATGCTTGTATGTGGGTGTGGGTGTGGGTGTTGTGTATATGTGTGCGTGCTGAAATTGAACCTAGGATTTCATACATACTAAACATGTGTTCTCTGAACCACTGAGCTACCCCAACTCCAAGACATTTTTCTTTACCTTTTTTTTTTTCTTTTTAAAGAAAGATGGTTGGTTCAGTATACACTATGTGGAAAATAGCCTAGGTAACTTGTGGGCAGGGATGGGAAGGGGAATCGAGAAGCAAAGGAAGGAGTGACATTGTTCAAAAAAAGAAATGTGCTCATAGGTGACTTATGAAATGGTAATCCCTCCCTACATCATCTTGATAAAACAATAACATTATAAATAAAAGTTTAAAAAGACGATTGGAAGCTGGGCACAGGTACACAGGTAGTTCATGCCTGTAAGCCTAGCTACTCAGGAGGCTGATATCTGAGGCTCACAGTTCAAAGCCAGCATAAGCAGGAAAGTTCCTGAGACTCTTATCTCCAATTAAGCATCAAAAAGTCAGAAGTAGAGTTGTGGCTCATGTGGTAGAAGTCTATCCTTGAACAAAGAAGTTCAGGGACAGTGCTCAGGCCCTGAGTTCAAGTCCCAGGACTGGCATCCAAAAAAAGAAAAAGAAAAAAGATGATTGGGATCAGAGAAGCATAGCTCAGGTCATAGAGT